GAGCTTGACACGTCAACTCTACTCACATCATTGTGGGATAATTCTACTACCAGTCCTTCATCGCCTTAGATGAAATAGGGTGAATACATCTCACATCACTGATTTACTGATAGTCTCGAAACTCTACTCTAATACGAAAATAAGTAACGTAGTCGATTGCTATAGCAAATATACGTTTGTTTCATCCGAACTTCCACTAAAAGAATATGATATAGCAAAGAGGCCTGACTTACTTGAAATTCACTTATGCCCTGTGACTCAATGGTACACGTGGCAGTGTAGCCGAGTGGTTAGCGAGTAAATCTCTCATCCTGCACTCTCGTGGTTCGACTCCCGCTGAGGGTATTGAAAAGACCGATGCGAGGTCGAAACTGCAGTCCACTGGTGCCTGGATAAGAATAAATTTTGGGAAAGCAAGGCTATGTGGAATTCAATGGAAACGTCAGCTCAACTCATATCATTTTAGGAACTTAGCCATGTTTTCAGGGCGCATTCTAGAAAAATTTATCTGATTGAACTAGTTCGTTCATTTAGCATCGAAACGCGTAATATTCCAAGTTCCAGACGTATTTCGCATTGTTTTAAGCATCTTAGTAATCTCGTACACAATACATGCAACATTTTTGACTGAGTCACAGCTAAGTCGGATTACGAAAGAAGCGATTAATACCAATTTAGCCTTTGATTGAATATCCATGAAATACCTTTTCCATAGCAAGCTGAGATAAAAATTCAAGAAGCTTTGATATTTGTGTAAGACGTGGCGGCCTAAGTGGATTATTTATACAGCAAATTTGATGAGACAAGGTACAGAGAATATCCCACTAAATGAGAGCAGTAAGCTCATGTTAAATAATTACAAACTTCAAAAGTAGAGTTTGATCGAACTTAGGAATTGTTTCCAAAGTGATGGAGAGAAACCGATGCATCATCCTTTAACGTGCTCCATTCTAAAAAGAAGACAAAAATGTTTATGGCAGATAATTGAAGTTTAAATGTTAAGTCGAATATATTTATAGTCTACTTATACAGATAGTGCCGCAAAAGTGACAGTTAAATTATTTATAATTTGGCTCAAGATCATTAACTCATACTTATTATCGTGTCGCAGTTTATTTATGCGAGAAAAGAATTTTAGAAAGATTGTGACAGAATGATAGCTCTTCAATACACGGGTTTAATAAAGTAATTAAGAGAAATTTAGTGGCCTCAATCGCTAAAGCTTTAAGCTTCATCATGAAACTTGCCTTAGAAAGCCATCTTGGAAATATAGGCTCGAAACCCTCTTTTGGGAGAGTTCCTATCTGGAAGAACACCATATAGTTGAATATGAAAAGCAACTTTGTGACGTCTTTAGATTCAATGCTATTCAATTAAGGCACAGCATCATATGATAATTATTTGAGAATGTTTCCTGAAATCAACTGCATTGAAACTAAACTTTAACTGGTAGTCTCGAACCTCTACTTAAATACGAAAAATATAGTTTAACTGACAGCTTACGAAATGAAGTTTGTATATTAAAATAGCAATAACTTGCAGTAATGAAAGGATAAGTGAAATGTGATTTTTTTCCTGAGAAGGACGTTTTACTCAAGAATGTATTGTCACAACCTACCTGGTAGAGATGGATATTTGCTGAAGGGATGTTTTTATGTCACTGACACTATCCCAGGTTAATATTGTTCACAAATTATATATATAAAGAGAGGAATTAAAGCGCCATCCTGATTATAATTTCTCGATTACCATCAACTTCAATCTTATTTTGTCAGATGGAGGTGGACGAGAGAACCAACTTCCAGGAATACAATGTATCCTGTTCAGCAGAACTTGATGGTGGAAAAGAAGTGAATTTCATGATCATCAATCTGACTGACTATGCTATTGAATCCTATCAGCCAAATAACCAGTCTAAGCTAAAAAATATTCATATAGTCTTCGTCTTCATCATCCTCGGCGGTATGCAATTAATTAGCGTATCTATTGTTATATTCTCCCTCCTTTCATTCAACGTTCTCAATGAGGCTTCGCTTGCTAAAGGGGAAAGCATGATCTTCCGTAATCGTGGTGCCGGTTTTCACGACGACAGACTCAATACGCCAAGATTAGCCCGTAACGTGGGTGAAATGGAAGAGACAAAGCTTCTTGACCTGTACCTTGAACTTCAGGTCGTCTCTGGCTTCGCTCAAGAACCGGTGTTTCTGAGGCTAGAAACAGGTATGCCGGCACCCTTTAAGATGCAAAACATAAACAATGCTAAAGCTGCGAACGTGTCACTGGTTAGTGTACCAACAAGACATACATCTGGGTTGTTCAATGAAGTGACAAACACAATGAAGCAGTTGGTTAAGGCGACTAGGGTCTCAATAAAAAGCGACACCAGCTGCGGAATTGGTGAAGGCTCCTCAGCCGCAGCGATATTTACAGAGTTCAGTGGTCGAACTGAGAGGAGACAGAATATTAACAATGCATCCTTAGCTCATTTCGAAACGTCTGAAGAAGAGCTGAAGAAAGAAAATGTAGAAGAATTAAATTCTGGCGAACAGATTGTTACCATTACATGTGAAGAAGCATGTCCATATTTGGACGACTATTCCCTCAGTCTTATAAAGCAAGAGAGGCTTAAGTTGCAGTCAGATCTGGAGAATGGTTTGCTACAGGTTAGATATCAGGGCCAACTTTTGTTATGACTTAAATCGCATAGGAATCGGACAAACTGATTGAATAATTGTATGCTTTGTCACATTTTCATATAGAGCAGGCAAAAGTTCTTATTCAAGCAAAATTGATTGTAATAAAAATAATCGAATCAAAATTAGGTTAAACTGCCGATTGGCATGACAAACAAATGGTTGCTGAATAGACAATCCAACCATTAAAAATGTGAGTTGGAATGCGCCTGGCTTGCCTTAAGTATTTTATCTGCTCTGTACCTTACTGGCACCTGTGGCAGTGTGGTGGTGTTGCAAACGATGTCACAATACTCACACCCGGTATCGAATCTCGCTGAGGGTACTATTGAAGTCTAGATGGCGCCGAAAATGCAGTTAACCCTGGATGAGATAACCTCGGTCTCGTCAGCACTATCTACACATTACCACGAGTGCCCTCGAGTCCCACTGTGTGTGCGCAGGCGACCTAGGCGAGGTCGAAACAGCAGTCTAGCCTGGATGAGATTATCTTATTGTCATGTGAAATCCAATTGAAACCTGATTCCTATTAATAGCGGTGTGGGAAAATCTAACTGCCAGTCATTTATTGCATTCATCACGAAATATCGTAAAAACAAGTATTGAATATCTACAGATAGCCTTGAAACCTCAATTCCAAATGAAAATGTTTTTATTATGTTTGATTCTCACTAAAATAATCTCAGTGATAGCTGACATGATCAGAGTGTAAGGAATAAACTTCATTTCGAACACTAAATTGGTAGAGCTAGTGAGCATATAGGAACCTGAGACAATTAGTTGGATACAACGTGAATCAAGACAACGTGAGCTAAACTCGCTCACGCCTAGAGAGAATGTTATGGCTTTAAAATTGCCTTTTTACGCATTATTAGGCATTATTGGGCATAATATAATGTGAAGAGTATGGAGCATTCAATCTTTCGGAGTACGTTACGAAGAAGAAGCTAGAATCGACTGCAAAACAAGCTTTAACTATGATGGATGAGGTCAATAGTGATAGAATGGGAATAATAAGAATTTGAGTTCTACGTAATTACGATGCGCTGGAAAGACCGTCTTTCTGTGTGTGATTCTTTCGTGTATTCTCCAGATTATTAGACTGCATATTTAGTCATAATTGTTCATTGTAAAATATGTTCTCTCCTCTACATAGAAATAGTGACCAACAGGGATCTTAAAATATCCTCTTTCCTGAGCCGAAGCTACTGAAAACCCTTTTAGAGGATTTAAGCTAGTAAAGAAATATCTCAGAATTTAGCCCAAATACCTATGCTCATTACTGTATCAGTTTGCTAGCATGCTTATAGTTGTAGGCTTACTAATACTCATCAGATGAAAGATATGAAGAC